ACTGGGAAGGTTCAGTTTGAGCTGCAGCTTTTCCAGCACTTTAGCCATTTGGGGAAGAATGGATATCTGGCGAAAGTCATTCTCGATATCTCTTGGTGGATTGACCTTCGGAACTGGGATAACTAAGGCATGTTTATAGGTAAAGGATAGTCACGAATAAGAAAAATCATTATTTTCTGAAGTAGATCATGTTCTATTCTGATTTATAATCTACTCCTTACTTTATTCTTATATTCATCCAATTTCTGTGGCAGTTCATTCGTTGGCGTTTTAGCCTAAAATTAAAGAATACAATCTATACAATGCAACTCATTATTCATGTCAAGAAAATATAAAAAGGAGTTGAAAATGTGAATTTTCGACTATATTTCAAAGTCATCCAGGGCCTTTTTAAACTATATAACTGGGGGCAAAGCCTCCTCAACCCTTTTGGCCCCCAGTCAAAATCTCTTTTCTCTATAATAAGCAAAACATTTGAAGAAAAATGGAGTTTAAAAGGGAGGTTTGATATTCTAGTAACTGAAATGTCATGACTCTATCTTCAAATAATTCAATGCCTCGATCTTTAAAAAAATGCTAAACATTGTGTTGAAAATCCACAGTTTCAAACAATTGGTCTTGTGTTAATTCAAATCTTGAAATTGAAGATTTATTCGGAATTTGTATCATTCATGTTAAAGTGTATATAATATGAGTCTGTTGTCTTAAACGACAGACCTGCTTTAGTCTCTAATATCCAGCAAAATTTTACGGCATACTATCGGATGTCTATATTTTAACTGAAGTAGTCAGTAACACATGGGGCCTACCGACACGTCATATACTGTCGTATCGACACGTCATACACTGTGTCATCGCCACGTCATATTCCGCTATCATAGACTGTATAATAACCCACCATTTCGCGTTCAATCTCCAGAAGATCAGTTTTTGACTTCACTTCAGATATTTCATCGACATCCACCAGATTGTCAATGACGTCATCAGTCTGGGTGGAGCTCTCTGCCGTACGTACTGGACTTGCCTCTCTGGACATAACTGAAACACCTTATAAATGGAGGGAAAATGTAATGTAATCAATCAATCAATCAATCATTATACACACCTACATAAACATGTACATGGCACATAGATGTTGCACCTCTCAATACCTATCATGTATTTCAGTAACTAGAAATTACTACCGTAAGGCACGTGTTACCGTACTGTACGGCCAACGTGAAAGTTGTCATCTACACTGACTGAAACAGACCACTAACCAAAATCAAGATCGTATGGGGTTCTTATTAACATTGCTTGTTCTTAGGGTGCAGCACAATCTTGTTCAAGCTTGTCGATATCAACCAGAAACAGGTTGTTCCTTTTTACGAAAGCTTTGCATTAATAGGGATGCAACTACCTGAAAAACACAAGGACGAAGGGCCTTCGCTCGAAACGTCGAAGTTCTCCTTGTATTTTTCAGGTAGTTGAATCCCTATCAATCTGAAACTTTCTTATTATTAGCTCTGCCTATTCCTGTACACTGGCACATGATATTGATTAACGGAATCAAGTAATAAGTATTGAGTTGAAATAAGTGTTGACCTAGTGAAACTACTGCACTCACTTGGTCCCAGTGTGTCTGCTGTTTTGGGTGTTCTAGGTAATGGTGTGTTACTCATCGAGACAAATATACTACTAGATCTGTCGAGAGCGGAGTCTTTTCCTTTAGCATCGGAGGACGCCGTGCCAAGACGTGAACTGTCGGAAGTCTACGAGAAGAATTGGCATATTATTATAACTCAAGAAATAGCGGTTAGCACGATATTTTCATACATACATACTGTAGAAATAGGGAATATGCAACGTGGTACTATACTACTATCACTCCCGCCCGACCGGTTCTTTCAAGAGTCCCAGTAAGGCCAGTCATTTATTCTATGTTAGCACAACTAAAACTTCGAGCAATCTCACAAGGGAGGCCACTTTGCGGTTTAGAAGCTCGCTTGATTTCTGATGATGACGGATTTCTCGGAAATCGATCGAAGTTCGTGGTCTGCATCTGCGAGGTTTCTTAGAGTTGCTTTAGGCCACGTTTACACTGCACCGCGGATACGCTTCCGTAGCGACGTGAAAAAAACACCTATCCGTACCATTTAGGTACGCGATTTTTAGAGGAATTATTGCAACGGAGAGATGTTGTTTCGTTCAGCTTCTGAATATTGGACATTCCGTATCGGATAGGTCATAGGTGCTTTTTCGCACCGCTATCTACGGAGAGCTAGCCGGTACAGTGTAAACGTACAGGTAGCCTTAACGACTGTGCCAGCAAGCGAAATACATAGAGAATAATACATGGCTGCGCGGAAATACCAGATTTATTTCGAGTGTTGAACATGATATCTCACGAGTGAGCGCAGCGAACGAGTGAGATATCAGTGTTCAACACGAGAAATAAATCTGGTATTTCCAAGCACCCATGTATTTTTCTGTTTATTATATAAACAAAATTCAGTGAAAAGAATAAAACGTCCGTGGCAATGCGTTTTACAACAAATGATATTTTCACACGTAAAAATATCGTATTTTTTACGTGTGTTTAAATACGATTTTTCAGTGGCCAAAAACTCTATATAACACTAATGTTTATATAATAATATTATTTAATAAGTGTTTTAACAAATCAAAACTTATATTACTTCGGCCGGTTGTTTAAAGGTGGGTTAGCACTAACCCTCGGTTAAAATTTAAACCACTGTGTTGGTTTGTGTATCTCTGCACGTCTGTTTATTTCAAAACTTTAGAGGAGTGAACTCCTATCGATTCAGAGAAGATCTCTGAAGAGATATTTCCAAATTTATAGCCAAGCTGGGAGTTTGCTTTGAATTTTAGGTTAACCTAGGGTTAAGTTAACCCAGCTTTGAACAACCAGCCCCTGTATACTATCGCCACGAGGCAATGTTTACCATTACTAATAATTGCACTATTCACCTTTACTTCCACTATAGTTGTAGCAGTTTTAGCAGATTTCCACGTGCTAAACGCTCGCGAAGCATATTCTGATTCTGTCGTCGAGAATCTGGCAGAGTCACGACTGTCCGGTAATAGAGTGGGGGCACTTGACGTGGCTGTTGCCAAAGAACGCCTTCTCATCTAAAGCAGATGGAAATATATACACATAGTTCATATAATGACATGGGAAGACCAGCAAACTTCGAATATGTCATTTAAGAAACAAACATGGAGGTTGAACGGGGTTAATCCTGCACAGTCTATTTTAAAACTAGTTAGAAATGGCTAAACGATGGAACAGAAATATTTCTCTATTGAAACATGGTTAAGAAAGATCACAGTTCGTTGTAGAGCTTAAAAATTCTGAACCAGCAGTCAAAACAAACACGTCATGCCTATGCCTTACTCATCAACCGGTTAAAGCCGGTTGTACAGACGAACAAGTTTTCTTTGACAAAAGTTTTTTTGTGAGAAGTTTTATTTGCTCGTCTGTACGCGCAACTTTGACAATTTTTTCTATGCACTTGCATTCTTTCTATGCATTTTTTCTGTGCACTTGTCATAGAAATAATTGTCAAAGTACAAATTTTGTTCGTCTGCATGGGTCAACAAAGAAAACTTGTCAAAGTAATCTGAGCATTTGATGTGATTGGCCAGCGGACTATTATAATTTTTCTGGCATGGCGGCGATAAGCACAGTCTCGAGCGGTATTCAAACTCAAATCTTCGGGAATCTACTGTAGACCGTCGCTCTACCTAATCTCTGATAATAATATCAAACTAGTTTTTCATATTTCTGAGGACAGTTCTGAAATACAAGCTTACCGCGTCAAGTTTTTCTCTCAGAGTTAGCACTTCATCCTCATGAATTTCTTTCAATCGAGTTATATCTTTTTCCTGGTTTGCCTTTAATTCGTTCATCTCTGTTTCATGCTTGTTCTCTAAGTCTGTAAATTAGCAATGTTATTATAAATAAATAATAATAAGATTTCTACAAGCTCGTGGGGTGATATATATATATATATATATATATATATATATATCGTGGGTGATGCAAATATAAGGTATGGTACTATGGGTAAATATCGAAACTCTTAGAGAGACTGGAATATAAAAGTTATAGGTCTGTTATTAATTACATTGGTTCTCCTGGTTGAAGTATCCAACTATACCTGAAATGGGAACCCTTTTGTCTGGTTAAAAACTTCTAGACAAAGTGCCTTCGTGGTTTTTATACCGTATACAGCTATTTCAATTGAGGTTGTCCCCCGAGCAAAGCGGAAAAGTCGAATACGAGCGCGAAAGGCTGCTGGGAATCGCTAATAAATTCATTCATTTATTAGCGATTCCCAGCAGGCTTTCGCGCTCGTATTCGACTTTTCCACTTTGCCCGGGGGACAACCTTAATTGAAATAGCTGTATACCATATAACCTGCATTGTACCTTTTCTGATTTCGATAATCTTCTCTGCTTGTTCTTTCGATCGTCCTTCAATATCATCCTTCAAATGTTGATTTTCATCCCTCAAATTCCTGCACATTTCTACGTACTCGTCGTACTTGCTCTCTGCTTGAGACAGCGATAGCTCCACCTCGTCCATTTCCTGTAGAAACGAAAAATAATAAAGTGTAAGTTCAACTAAACTAAGACTAAACTAAAACCAAACCAAACTACTAAACTAAACTAGTTAAAACTAAACAAAATAAACACATTAAAACTGAACTAAATATACTACACACTGTCTCCTAACCCACCCTCAGGGCAGTGCCAAGTGGTTTTTGGTTGGGGGGTGAAATAAAAAATTTGGGGACCCTCCCATTTGCCCCCCCCCCCCCAAAAAAAATAAATTCCAGAAACCAAAAAATTTTTCCGTCGCTACGGGGGAATAGGTTAGGTCCCAAAAATGTTTTCAAACACTACTTACATAATGGGGGCTTAAATTTAGTTCTGAAGACCTTTTTAGACCAATTTTCCAGAAAATTCCTTAATATTCAACATGTTCTGCAATTCCAGCTTTCCAGGGCCCCCTCTCCGCAAGTTGGGCCCCTTTTTTATTTTTTTGGGGGGCGGGGGGGGGGGGTATCACCGTGGCACGGCCCTGCCCACCCTGTCAACTTTCCCTGCCTGTGGGAGAAAACCGGAGCACCCGGAGAAGACTCACGACTTCTGGTAGAGCGTTGACTGCTTGATTCTTTCCACATGAGTCCGCAGCAAGTATCGAACCCACGATCTCAGAAGTGAAAGGCGCTTTCTCTGACGAATGGGCCCCCGACGCCCCAGGAAAATTTTAGAAAGAGCATAACCCCTATAGAGCATAACCCCTATACCGGCCAAATTTGAGCCACTTTTCTACAGGAAAAAACTACACTTTCACTAATTTATCTTCACTGGACACCTCTCTCGAGGTTATGGGCGATTCCTTGTTGCTTCCCTTTTATACCGAGTGAAACCTAAACTCACTCTAGCTATACTGGATTGTATTATCAGTTTTAAATTGGACACCCACCGTTCTGTATGTCTGTAGCTGTTGTTCTTTAGCCTGTAAGCCTTTTCTCAGATCATCACATTCCCTTTCAAAAGTCTGAAAGAACACATAGAAAAGATAAGTTTAAAATATTTAACAAATTTTAAGTTTCATCGAAAAATATTTTTCACTTACTTTATTAACATTTACTTGGGCTTTCAGCCTGCAAAACAAATAACACCAAACTAAGATTGGATTCATTAACAGTCTGGTTATAGTAACCAGGAATCTGGTTATATTTGACAAAGACGTCCTGGTATTAAATTAACCAGATTTTGTTAGGCGGATGGGTGTTTTAGAGGGTGTAACCAGAATACATACCTGTCAATATCAGCCTCTTTCACTTCGAGTTGGTTATTCAGAGTTGTCAATTTTGTTTTGGCGTCTTCGAAATCTACATAAAAAACCCAGGAACTTTTTAATATTGACTCTAATAACTGTATTATTATTTAGAAACATAATAAGCTCCTTAACACACTGGAGCTATAGTTATCCGAACTAGATATTAAAAGTAAACAGCAATCATTTTGCTTGTGTATTTCTGAACCTCTTGATATTTGAAATCCTTACATGCAAATTAAAACTTCTATTGATCCAGACAACATTTCTGCATAAAACATTTCCAAGTTCGTTCACTTCGTTGGGACGTTTGCTGTTTTAAGTTACTAGTATTAAGCTAACCGCAGCAATCAATCCTAGAACTGTAATGGACCAATACTCTGTATGAGCTAGGGACCACATGCAGCCTTACTATGCACACAAGAAGAACTATAACTATTCAGATAAACGGGGGAGAATAGCACGAACTAATCTATACTGTCTAGCAATGGATCTGGGAACAAATCATGTCTGATATTTTCTAGATAGCTTGTCTATCTGTTTCCGCCATTTATACTGGCAGACGATTCCTTCTTTAAATGATTATTACTTATTAGTGTCACACCATTATTGCGTGGCTCAAGTTCCTGCTGGCGGTCATTTTATGGGCCGAGTAGGTCCACATATCTGGAAAGGTTTTTGTAATGACGTCACGTGGGGGGGTCAAGGGTCTGTGTCAAGGGTAAAGAACGGCTTTTTATATTGTTTATAGTGTTTTATATTGGCTTAGAACTCATTTACATACAATGCGATGACATCCATTTTGCATCTTTATTGTTTTAGTTGACCTCAGTTCACTGATGGGAAAGACTATTTCACTGACCTCAGAATGACATTTTGTCAAAAATTTTTCATCAAGATTGGTTTAGAAACAAACTTAGAGTAGGGTTTGGTTAGGATTGGAGTTAGTATTTGGAATAGGGTTAGTATTAGTAAAACGGTTGCTTTGTTACATTTTGTCACTCTGAGGCCAGCGAAATAACCCCTTCCTTCGATGATTGACCCTCACTTGAGTAAAATTATCCTAAAATATCACGTGATTGAAACCCAAGACTATATCGTATAATTAAACCATTCTTTGAGAATCCGTGTTTCTTTTAACCGGTTCTCATTGGAAATGTACCAAAAACAAGGCATTTTTATCGTTATTTGTTGGGTAAGATTTCATGCGATAATGACCATGAAGTGACAAAAATCCATTGCCCAAGTTCGTCCATAAGGATCATCCGTCTCTAATATAAACCTGGCCGGTTACATTGGGCAAAACTGTCTTTCACACCAAAAATATATTGATGTCTTGAATTTGATGCACTTTTACTGCAAAACTTCGAAAATCAAGCACATTTGTCAACGAGCATTTAAGTACCTGATTGAACTCCGACCAGTTTTTCAGTGAGGTGCATAACATCTTGCTGAGACTGAAATAAAGCCTTTTCCAACTTCTTTTTTCCCCTGAAATGAATACAAACTATTCAGTTTATGATCTACACGACACTGGACGGATTTATGACCGTATCAAACATTAAGGCCATATTACACGATGAATTTTTCTGCTGGAACTTGCAAAGAATTTCGGGCAGAGAGTCGTGTTATCTTATAAACAATAGATATGTAAGCATGGTCCGCATTCAACTCCACACTTCCTTTACGTAACACTGACCGATTCAAAAACTAGTTACCACACAATTTTGAATTATTGCATATCTCATTCATTGCCAGGCGCTAATAACCAGTTTTTCAAACAAAACAAGTTATTTAAGGCAAAGTTAGTGTGATAGTTTAAGATCGAAAACAATCCATATAAGTGAAATTATAGTTCTTTGAAATGTGCAAAAAGCACCAAAACGAGGCGGTCATGCTTGTTTGCTAAATCTAGCAGAGACTTCGGTATTTTTAAAATTTAATTTTCTAAAGAGAATACATACTTGTAAAACTGTTAGGCAGCAGTGTTTACCATGGTTGCCCAATTTCAGAAGAAAAAAGGATGACAACCATGGATGCGAAAAATGAAAGAAATATACGGAAAATGTCGCCAGAATAAATGCCCACAATTTTCCTGAATTTTCCTGAATTTTTCAGAATTCTCCATGTTCTACCCTGGATTCCAGAGCCTTCGACAGTAAATAATAAATTGAAATGTCGCGAAGGCTCTGGTTCAACGGGGCGATTCTTTGATTAAACCGCGCCAATCACAAAACAGAATTAGTGGTTTTAGTACAGAATCTGTACTAAAACCATTAATTCTGTTTTGTGATTGGCGCGGTTTAATCAAAGATTGTGATTGGCGCGGTTTATTCATTTCCTGAATTTTTTCAGAATTCTCCATGTTCAGAATTTTCCTGAATTTTTCAGAATTCAAGTTTTATTTACTATCATTCTCCATGACAAGTTTCTGAATCTGAGCTCCACCATATAGGCAAAGCTATTATTAGCCACTACAACATTAGATCGTTGACCAACCGCATGTCAACATGTTGTGTGCTCAAATTACTTTCCCAAATTTTCTTTGCTGACCCGAACACAAGCGCAAAAATTGGCAAAGTTGCCTATACAGCAAACAAAATTTGTCACAGAAAACTTGCTGGTCTGTTACCGGCTTGATACGGGAGCAAGCATGCACTTAACACAAGGTGCGATAATTCGCGCACTTATATGGTACATCTTAGTTCTCATGCAGACCGAACGCGATTTGACATCGCGACGCGAGTTTTCAGTTTTTAAAAACAAATAAAACCGTCAACAGATAGAAATTTGACAAGATATGCAGACCAAATAGCGAAAATTGCTCCGAATATTTGGAAAACATAAAAAATACTGAAGTTAAATGTAATTGAAAATTGCAAATTCGCGTCGCGTTGCCAAATCGCGTCGGGTCTGTATGGACCTTTACGAGTCTACGTACGCGGGTTCTAGCTATCTGCGTATTTACATTTTGCTATAGTACCATGCAAATAACCAGCAAATTTTCAAAACCCATGGTATTCAAAACCTAAAGACTGCGCAACAAATTTCATTATATAGACTGTTCGCAGTCTATTATATTCAAAACCGTATCAACAAAATATCTATAATATGTGTTAATCCGATATTTCTGGCATGTCTTGGCAGGAAACAAGATCAGACTAAAAGCGTTGCCCGATCAATCAGATGTGTTTGTACAGTATATGCAAATGTCTCCTTCTTGTTCAAACTCGTGGTATCTGGTTACTGCAGAATGAGTGCTATTCGGAGAACTATATGCTTTCTGTTGCTCTATTCCAAAGATTAAGTACACCTTGAGTCTTGTATTTGATCAGCTTAGCGCGTGGCAATAATTATTGGAGTAGCGGTGAAGTGTGTCTGAAAATATCGAATTATCGCACTCTTGCAATAGCGTCAGTATATGATGTGTATTTGTCATTCAAATATGAGATACCGATATCAACAGATAAATAACTTAATAGGACTAACAATAACAATAATCTCGTTGAAAAGTAAATTGCAAATACCCTATAAAATGCACGTAATTTTTAGATTCAGCGACGTGGACCAGGTGAAATATAGGCCCAAACAAACCCAGACAAACTCGCACCCTAGCTTGAAGAATCTGTTCCACCTACTGAGCTATCAAGTCACTATAATAGATACTGAACTCGCAAGTTCATTGCTGTAATTACTAAGCCTACAAAAACAGGTGGTCAGTTCTTATCTTTTATAACTACACGAGATTTGAACTCTCGACCATCAAGAATCTAGTTGACTATACTTCATTGCTCTATATACCCATATTTGAGCTATCAAGCCTACAGAGATTGGTAGTGAGTTCTATCGTTTATAAAAACACGCGATTTGAACTCTCAATCTTCAGGAATTTAGTCCACTGCTCTACCTGTTGAGCTATCAAGCCTACAGAGATTGGTGGAGAGTTCTTATCTTTTATGAGCACACGAGATTTGAAATCTGAATCTTCCCACCTAGTTTAAAATTTATAGTGGCGACTTTCGATTCTTTACAGTGTATACCACACAAAACCTACAATTCGCAAGTACATTATACACAAACAAACCTGATTTAGTCTAACCATTTTGTTTACTTTCCAATATGAAGGCTTATAAATGAAAATCTTTCAAGATATACAGACGAATTTCTTCGTTTAATTCAGGCAAAGAAACCAGTAGAGCAGGAACGATAAACGTTGTAAATTGTAAATTGTAATGTATTGAAATCCAAGCGTTTAATATACCTCTGCGCTGTGCTTAGCAACGGCTAATGAAAGATGATATCCTGTTTAAAACAGCGTAACGTCAACATGGCAATTATAGACATAGTGTGCATTGTTTGATGAAGTAATTTGGGACGTTTTATGTCTTAATACAATAGTTATTAAGAAATTAGACTTAGAAATTTGCATAAACGGACGTAACGCGCACAAAAAGCTACAATGAGTATATTCAATGCACTTGCTTTAATGATAATCGCATCTTATTTTATAATTTTTTACTGTTATTTCATTTTCTGAACCACCAGAAAATGCACTCAAAAAGGTACTTACTGCATAAAATCGACAGTAAAACTCAAATAAAACTAATTTCGAGAGGTATCTCAAAAAGACTTAATTAAGGTTTCGAACGCTTTTTATGCCAAATGACATAGAAAAAATTCAACGTATAGCTATACAGCATTAAATTTTACTTTTAAAAAAAGTAAAATTATATCATCTCTATTCTGTGACCATATCGTTCTCTATGAGATGATTTAGGCGAATCGAAGTATCACTACGTACGGACACTATGTTAGCACAAACTCTTTAAAAAAAAGATTTTATTTGTTCCAATGATCATGACGTATAAAGGCCCGTAAAATGAAAAATTGCACCGTGTAAAGCCAGTTTTCCACTGGGAAATTTGTCGCGCGAATCTTTTGTCTTATAAGCTCTTGGCTGGAACTAATTAGATTTTTAATAAATTCTTTTCAATTTTAACAATAAAAAATTCGCTTCACGCGAAGAAATTCGCTAGTGGAAAATAGTCTTTACACGGTGCAATTTTTCATACAACTTGTCTCGCAATGGCGTTGCGCACCGTTTAACATGCCTTGCAATGGTCAAAATCTTTGCGAGACAAGTTGCATGAAGCATTGCACAGAGTAGAAGTCGGTTCTACTTTTGGCAACGATTGCACTAATTATTTTTAGCATTATTGCAGCGTGTAACATGGCTTCGTGCAACTTGTCTCGCAATGTTTATAGCTTGGAGTGTTCCTATTGGCTCTCCCCAGTACACGCTTTACTTTAATTAAAATTTGGCGCCAAATAGCGCCTCTCCCTAGTCTCTTCGCATGCCTCTGTCCACTATCGTTGCGAGTTGCATGAAAATCATTGCAATGCATTATCAAAATCTTTTTTTAAACATTGCGAGACAAGTTTACCAAAAAAAATTCGCGCACAGAAAAAATCCAGAAAAAAAAATATCGTGCACAACAAACCTATTGAAAAAAAATTCGAGCAAGAAATAGGGCTGATTTTTAAAATTGTAATGCAATTATTCTAAAACATTAAAATGGTGTTTTTACGACAATCGAAAAAAATTTATGCCTTTCTCCCCGACGAACTTTTCGAGAAAATTTTTTTAGGTCATCTTAAAAAAAATATCGTGCAAAGGAATGTTGCAGAAAAAAAATTCTTGCAAGCAATTGGGGGCTGAAAAAAAATTCGTGCACAGAAAAATTGCCCAACCCCCCCTCTCAAATATCTAATGTCCGTCACTAAGGTATTATGATTAAACCCCGTTCAAGCGAAAGAGTTGATGAAACAATAGTCTATAAAGATATGATGGCCTGTAAATTAAACAGCAGTAATTTTGTTATGTGTTTATTCAAGTTTTATTTGTGCATGTTCACGGTGATTGAGCTCATTGTATTTTCGTATCCATTATACGAAAATACAATGAGCTCAATCACCGTGAACATGCACAAATAAAACTCGAATAAACACATAACACAATGAAGTAGCCGTCCAATTTGGATAGCGGAGGTGAAACATACAACACGTCACGATGAGTAATATACAATTCAACATCAAACAATAATATTGTTTTCACAAATACTTCTAGCAAACAGTGAAAGAAAATTACCTCAGAGTCAGTAAAACTCATCATAACTTCTTGTCACAAGAAAAAAGCGATGAAATTCCTGGCTTGTGCATGTACCTTAATTTAGTCGTTTTCATACAGGTTTTTTTCAGGGCCTGGTAACAGCGGTTAAACGGCCCCAAGAGCTCAACCTTGAGTTCAGTTTTGAAACTCAATCATTTCATCAAAAATTTTAGCGGAGTAAAAATAAAGTTGTTTGAACATTATAAAATAATAATAATAAAATGTATATTTACTCCGAGACATTCACACACTAGACACCAGAATTCAATCTCTCACGCGAGCACACAACACAAATTTTACCTTTTATGATCCTTGGGATTGACCATTTCAAAAACTTTTAAAACATCTTTGGAGATATTCGCCAAACGTTCGGTGGTTTTTTCAGCTTTATCCAAAGCATCTCTACAGAAGAAACATCACAAATAATTTACACAGTAGTCTAGTAAGCGAGATATATATATATATATATATATATATATATATATATATATATATATATATATATATATATATATATATATATATATATATATATATATATATATATATATATATATATATATATACAACTGACTTCTCCAGTAATTCTATATCATTTCTATAGCGTAAATTTACACGAGGATATATGATCAAATGCGCTTTACACCAAGTTTCACGCTTACCTAGTATAATTACCGACATACTTAGCCTATGCGCGTAAAAATTGAGAAAATCAACAACTTGTTGCAAGTTGATATCGACAGGCGTGAAAAATGTTGTGCATGCAGCCAACTATGATCAGTGTTGTCAACATGTTGTTACAACATTGTTCAACTTGGAACAACATGGTTGACAACTTGTTCATAGTTGGCCGCACAACATTGTTCACGCCTGTCGATATCAACTTGCAACAACCTGTGCGTTTTTAGCTGTGTAGACTATTTTATCTTTACAACAATTGCCATAATACTTTCTAACTGTGTTCGATCATTCTAACCCACCCTATCAACTTTCCCTGTGGGAGAAAACCAGAGCGCCCAGAAAAAACCACAGCGTTCAGGCAGAGCCACGAACTCAGAGGTGAAAAGGCGCTCTCAAACCGACATATTTATATTTATTATATAAACATAAGACAGTGTTATATAGAGTTTTTGGCCACTGAGAAAAATCGTATTTAAACACACGTAAAAAATACGATATTTTTACGTGTGAAAATATCATTTGTTGTAAAACGCATTGCCACGGACGTTTTATTGTTTTTCACTGAATTTTGTTTATATAATAAACAGAAAAATACATGGGTGCTTGGAAATACCAGATTTATTTCTCGTGTTGAACATGATATCTCACTCACTCGTGAGATATCATGTTCAACACTCGAAATAAATCTGGTATTTCCGCGCACCCATGTATTATTCTCTATTTATATTATAATGCGCAATGAAAAATGGAACAACGCACAAATTAAAATGTCCACGGAAACAGTTGAAGTCCATCTCAGTACACATCAGTCCATCTCAGTCTGCAAGCATGCACTAAGGCTATCTTCATCAAGATTAAGAATGAGCAACACACGTTAATGAGCAACACACGAGCGTCAATGAATAGCGCAAAAAACTATCCGTGAATGGAATCAGGCAAACAAATGACAACAAATTGAATAATTGAATCAGTATACATATCAGATTCCACAAAATATACCTGACATTATTCTCAACTTCATCAAAGTCAAACTCCAGTGCGCTGGGTGTAAATGAATCATCACTTGCTGTATTTTGTGTGAAAAACTGCAAATGTATAGACTCTGAGTTACAAATTCTGAACTAGAAACAAGGTTCTTAATACTGGTGTTGTACAGCACATATTTCAACATATTAAAGTTCAGTTTTACTTACTTGCTGCAGCTGTAACAGCAACTATAACAAAATCAAATAGAAGACTCAGTATAACCTTTCCTCATCCAGACAGAAATACACATGAATGCAACATATACTATTAATTTGGGGCAGGGGGGATGGGGGTTGGGGGGAAGGAGGGATGGGGTAACAATATTTTCTATAAAATCTGCCCAGTTGCTTATTTTTCTAAAAATCTGGACCAGTATAGTTGTCTGTTGAAATTTTTAAATCTATAAAAGACATTGAAGTATTGTCAAGGCAAGTAAAAATAATTTTCTTCCTGAGAGCACAATATATATATAGACATAAAAATTTGTTTTGCTTGTTTTGGGCAAGCAAAAAGTGCATGCATGGGCAAAAACAGCAACAACACTAATTGCAATTAGTGTTGTGATTAACGAGGAGGATTTCACTTTGCCACAAAATCCCCCAAAAATCTGGAAAATATCCGATACAATTTGGAAAATCTGTCAAAATTTAAATGCCCCTCAGTTTAGTAAAATGAATCCTTCATTGCAGACAACCTCACACCTGTTTCCTCACTAATATACAGCTGGTTTAATTAACTTATAAAGCTCGGAAAGCACTGGGATTAGCTAACCTTATTACGATGACTACACAAGTTTTCATAACCAACAACAAATATCGTCACTTTTTGTTGATACTGAAAAAAAAAATGAAAGAAAAAATGCATATAAAAAAATCTGCTTTTGCAGAATTAATTGATGTAAAACAACTTTTAACGGGAGGTTCAATTATCAGCATCTTATGCAATATAGAATTTAATATACAAGACAATACAAGACTCAATCTTTCAAAAACTTGTACCTTCCTCTTTGCTATTGGGTCTGACAATATCAAGTGGAGTGTTGCCTTGAAATACAAAAATAATAAGTCACAATGAATCAACAACTATGATTTTAAAAAGATTTAACTGATGGAACCAAGGATCTTCAGTAATGCAAACTTGTGAATTGTGAGGACATTTTGACAGTGGTAATGCATCCAGATGTGCCCTACTTTATTATTTTACTCTGTCTAAAACCAAACGATTTTACTCATGAGGGGGAGAGTGCTGCCACTTAATGGGTTAATCAGACTATCTGTCTGCATGCACCCGGTTAACCCTTTAGGGGGCAATGCATGCACCCAGAAACACCCTACTTTATTATTTTACTTTCACTAACACCGGACAATTTTACTCGTCTAGGGGAGAGTGATGCCACTTAATGGGTTAATAAGCATGTTTGCATGAGGCAGAACCATTGTATACTACAGAAAAGGTTCTCCTTATCAAACAGAAAATGGTAAAATTTACCATTTCCACAACCACTGCATGACTACTAGGTCTGGAGTTTCTGGAGAAGTCTAGAGATTGTGTACCATATATATTTGTTAAGAAATAGTTAGTTATATATATTAATTGTGCAAAAAATGGTGTGTTTAGAATGTATAACCTTCAGTATGATTATATATGATGCAATGCTTTATACACACACCTGTTTTATCTGTCCTGTTCAAAACTATGGAGAACCTTGCTATATGCTATATGCTATTTCATTTATCTTATAGTTTGTGCAGCTGTGTCTACACAAAAGCTCAATCATTACCATTTGCATTTAAATTCAGAACTGTGCCCAGATTCACACAAGATCGATGACACATGATTTGCAGTACTATTAAATGTATTCTGAAATCAATGAACCATAAGAATGACAATGCTTTTTGACAAATGACCTACCAAACAGTACCACAGACTATATTGAAACAATGTACGATGATCATACATACCATATTGTCAACAAACTCCAGCTCTGTGTCTTCTTTAACAAAAGTGTTTTTCTTATCTTCAACATTGTTTTGACTTGTCGCAGCAAGTTCCTCTCCAACTTCATAAGCACTTAATGTCTAAAGCATAGATTCATAGCCAGGGATGGATCTACTGGGGGGGGGGGGG